CCGCCCCTGGTGGTGTTCGAGTCCACGCTATCTTGCAAGCTAAGCGAGTACCTGTTCACCGCCGTTCACATCTGCTGCTCTTGGCTGATAGTTCTCATCGCAATGGAGCGGCACTACGTCGTTTCCTCTCCACTGCAGGCCAGGAAAAACTGTACGCCGAAGGTATCCCGAGCAGCTGTTGGGTGTCTGGCCCTGGCAGCCCTGATGATCGAGATATACGCCGCCGTGTTAACTGACTACCGACCCGGCCTGGGGTGCGGGATGACAGACTCTTATATCGTGTGGCATTACGTGATCGCCACCAGTTTCGTCAGCATGCTGCCCCTGATCCTCATCTTGCTCTGCAACATCCACATCACTTACCTACTCCACAGGCTGGACTATATCACCAACATTTTCCGCAACGATCACAAAACAAAGCGAGTCACCTACATGCTGTTAATGGTGTCGGTGGCGTTCATAATCCTGGTGATGCCGAACGCGCTGCTGGGCTTAATCCTGACCATCCGCGTGGACTGGATACCGCATCTGGTCATGCTGGCGCCCCCCTTCAACTTGCTGTGGGACATCAATTTCAGTATTAACTTCTTCATCTATGTCATATCGGGCGTGGAGGTCAGACGGGAGCTCAGAGGGATGTGCTGTTCTCCCTGCCGAGGAAGCGAAGCGATGGACATGGTGTCCCCTAAACTGCCGGGAGGATCTTCACAGTCTGTCCACCTGGAGACGGTGTCTGGCACCCTCTCTGCGCAGTCACAAAGCTCTGCTCTGTCTGCAGGCGATTGTCCCTAAACAATCTTAAGAACGGTGCATGTGGGTTCATATATAGTTTAGTACAGATTTGACTGAGATAAGGTGCCAGTATCCTGCCAAAAGTAAACGGTTTTCTTTTTTTCTGTCTGAGGTAGAAAGAAGTCCACTCACGGTCTTACAGTAAAAGGAAGGTAAAGATCACAATAATTAACGCTTTTGTAAGTTGGAAACAAATCACATTCGATACAGCGATTTTTGTATTGTTAGGAGCAACTTCATAAGTTACTTGTATACAGCTGTATGTGCCTACCGCCTGATTTCCAGTTAAATGGTAAGTAACATAGAATTAAAAAACAAATGTTTCATTAAAAGGTATAGGAAATATGGCTTTTTATAATTTCGATACACTTTCATGGTTAGAGCTGTACAAAGTTAAAACAGTCCTTTAATGATTGTCTGAATATGACATTAAGATAAGCGATATTTTACTTAAACTGAATTAACTGGCGCTTTAGAAGGCACTAACATTTCGCATATTAACTGTAGAAGGTATGCTTTTAGGCGTTCTGCAGATTTTATAAACACTAATACCTATTATTTAGTTTTGGGTGCTATCATTGTATCTTGACCTGGAGATCAGATATTATATGCCCGGACGCTGTGCTTCTTGATAAGAATGACAAAATCTACCATGGCAAAATCTGGATGCTACATCTGTATTGTAAGGTTTGTCAAATTTACCTTTACAAAAAGGAAATGGTATTTCCATATCTACCAATGATTAAAATTTGCAGAAAGTTGCATGATAACAGAAATATCTATTCAAATTTGCTTAAAACCAACGATCAGCTGTTATCTACTTATTATTTAGGTGAGGCTTATTTCATTATGAAAAGAGTGTAAGTAAACGATCAAATAAGGAAACTCATTTAAGTTTGTTTGCATAGTACTCAAAGACGCGAAAGAAAAGCTATAAACATAAAAATCATAAACATTAAGTCCCGCTTTCATAAATCAAATTAAGGATGGTAATGTTTATTTAACGTCTGATAAAAAAATTCAACATCAGGCAACACTCGAAAATCACGAAAACAAGCTATTAAATATATTTGCCAAATGCGCAACATGCACCTGTCACGGAGAGAGTTCATTTAGAGATATCAGAGTATTAGCTATTTCGTTACTGTATCATTTACTCGATAGTGATAATCTGGAACAAGGCTTGTCAGTGATTAAGATTGATTACTAATGTACGTGAGAAACTTGCGTCATTTTTTAAACCATGTCCGAGAAAACGTTTAAAAATGACAGACCAGCCTCACGGAAATGATGGTAAATTTGTGAAACTCCTAGAACCCCCCCTGCGGTAATTAAATATAAAACTAGTATAATTAAGACATCCAGTTAACAAATAGTGTCTCATCATAGTATTCTCTACATGATATATGTATTAATGATCCATATGCACTATGTAGATTCTAGTGTAGTTTATATCAATATGTACTTAGTTTCTGCGGTATGGTCATAAAAACTTTAGCTTATAATCCTCTGGTATGAAATCATTATTAGCACTAGTGCTATTTTCTTCTGTATCCAAGGATCAAATCCTACAATAGTGCGAGCTTAGGACACATCTTTATCTGCCGTTGTCAAAATATCCTTTCCATACAGTATTATCTGTGTTATAAGACTCCGTAGAAATCTAACACGGTATGTCTTTCATTTTCTTTGTGAATAATATTCTGCTATGGCCAGTATTCAATTTTATGTATGTAATTCTAAGGGCATTCAAAAGTATTTTTCATTCACGTATATTTTTACCTTGCAATAGAGCATTTGGTTCTTTTTTTATTTCGTTATACGTTATTTATAGATTTATAAAAAATCCAGGGCAGTCACGGTGTAATATCGCAAATAGTTTATTCTTGGTTTGTTAAAAGATGACTACAATAATTCGACTGTGCGATATTTGTTTAAAGAGCTTATTGGTTTAGGAATTTGGTTTATTGATTTAGGAATAATTAGCCTGCAATGAATGTCTCACATACCTAAAAACGCTACTGTTACAAATGAGAGAGAAAATCACTGTCAATGTCAAGGCCATCACAATTACGTGCTTAGTTAAAAAAACTGAAAATATGGAAGGCTCAAGCGGTCTTTACATACTTTGTCAAACGCAACTTAGTCAGCTAATTTGCATAACAATCTTTTTCGATGTTCAACATCGGTTGTTATGTGAAACAAGCCCCTAGTTTTATAGCGGGTGTTATGTGATCTAAAAGGCACAAACCATGCACAGGGTATGTAACCATATAGATAGTTGTTTTTGGATATGTATCCAATCTCTTTTTCAACCATTCATTGTTTGATTTATTAATGCACACATCTACAAATCTTATTGTACCGCTGAATTTTTTTTTTTTTTTTTTTTTTTTGTCGATTGTGATGCGGATTCCTCGCGTGGTACTTAACTCTGCCGTTTCTTTATTACTTTTTTGTATCTCTTGCTCATCTTCATTTTCACGCCTCCAGTTTGGTTATTGCTTCTTTTCCACTATGGGTTTCTTGACACTTATCTATTATCTACTGTCATCTTACAAGTACGTGTCCGTTAATTTCCATTTAGCACGTTTATTGTTGGTATATACGCTCATATTGTAATAAGTATTCAAAGCAATATACGTGTAGGTTGTTTATCATTAGCGATAATTATCAATACGTATGTTTGTATTGTAATGATTGTTATTATTATAGGTACATTTTAAGGATGATAATATGATATTGTGACTTATTCATTGTCCATTCCAATCTTACAATATTATCAAGAAACGGAGAAACTAATATATTGTTAATTTTGTCGTTACATGTAATCTACAAGAACATATTGTTAATTGTCGTAACCCACTGACAATCTTGTTATTGCATCTATTTATTGTATATTACTTTTACTACTTATATACGCACTGCATTTCACTAAAGATCTGAATGGCTACAAAGTGTAAATATTTTTTGAAAATAAAATTGTTTGTCTGTCTCATTTTGGACTACTTTACCAGAAGCACTCAGCGAAGAGTATAAGCTGAATACTGTATGATTTCTAATTTTTTTTCACGGCATGGCAAGATGTCTATATACATAACAAGATGATTTCCCTTTCAATCCGTACATGTTATAAATCAGCGGCTTCAATGGTTGTTATTTCTCTAGAAGATAACTCTACAATACCTTCCTAGACGAATAAGTACATTCATTTAGCCATTTTCCTTCTGAACTTTTAAAAAAAAATTTTCTTAACACTTAACGATTTCGTACCACTCTAAAAACTTGATCAAATAATGGTCTTCTCCGTATCTTTTATAATATTTCTTATCTTCTGACTAAAGATGTAGGAAAATGATACATAATTTTTTATTCAAGTAGTTTTAAAATTGTTCTACGTGTGCTAAAAATCGCATCATGCACCATATAATAATTCCTAAAAGAGAGCAATTTCAAACGTTTTTTCTATGATTTGGTAATTCTGTCGTTTTGTTGGACTGAGAACCGGCAGAGCTAGCGGACAGAGAGATTTCAGGAAATACAGACTTATAATCATTTTATAAATAAAATTATTACTGTGATACAAACAATATCAGTATAATTATGGTTTCGTTCATACATTTGTAGAGCTTCTAAGTGTCATGGGGGATGCATAAAAATTACCTTTATTTGTACTTTTTATAGGAACTTCTTGGTTTTGAAAAGAATCTCCTATATTTATCAGTGACGTTGTGCACCCTCCTCAGTTTGTACAATGTACATGTAGTTGTACGCGTTATTTTACAATTCAAAGAGATATTTATGGAATTAAAACTTCTTCGAAATGTCAGATTCGACACTTACCCATTGACCCAAATAACAACCAAACTTCTTTTAGTTCAATATATGTGAGAACGTTATTTCAATCTCTTCTCGATGTTAAACCGAAATTAAGTCATTTTCATACCCGGCTTTTATCTCAGATTCTCTTTAAAAAATTAACTAGCAATTAGAACATAAGCTCAAATACTGACTGTGTTGATAGAAATAGGTAGGTTTCAGATTATTAAATTTTGGTGAACGGCCAGTCACAGAATCCGAAATGTGATCCACATTAAATATATTGATGTTCCTAAACGTCTACCGCTGAAATCTGCCCCTTGTGAACAGTGCTTCTGGTTAACTAAGCAAATGACAAAAGTTACAGAACCTTTCCACCATGCAACAATGCACATGATCGCTTTTTAATTAACATTTTATATAGTTAAGGGTCAAACGACCCAACAGACACACCGAAAATCTATAAAAGAAAATCTAACGCATTATAAGTCTGCGCAACCATTTCAAGTGGTATTAATCACGTATTAAATGATTCACGCTTCCATTTCTCCATTCAAGACGCCATATTCTCTGCATAATTTATAAAGTGTCCATTAACGTTTAAAAAGGAGTTGCATCGATTAAGTCGGGTAGGACAATGGCTAATCGCTTCGTTGATTCTAATGTGTAACACCGCTTCGATCCGTGACGAAATGCGGGCCAGATTCTAAGTTCTTGTTGACAGATATAGAAGTAACTGGACTAGGAACAGGTGACAAAAAGGGGCCTCATAATTTGGACGGAGGCAGACATCTTGATACCTCGTCAACAATATATTTCATCCTGATTATTTTATTGGATCATAATTCCTGAAGGTAGGTGAGATATGAAGCAGCCTCGTATTAATAACACATGGGAGGTAAGCGGAGGCATTCTTGTCAAAACAAATAAGAATTAACCACTTAGTTACAATCATGAGAGTCATTCACTTCTAGTTTTCAACTTCTCAAACAATAGGCTAGTAAGAGTTTATTTTTTAACAGGGTTTTACAGATATAGATAGATATTTCAGTTATTCTGAATTGTAACAAGAAATGCAAGTTTTAAAGAAAAAAACAGTATTTTTCTGAATAGCAATATTAGCAAGTTAAGATGGAATTATAGAAATAAACATTCACACTAGTATTTCATGTATATGTACAGTATCACACGGATAGAAGATTAAAAGTAACATCTCGTCAAATTTTTTAAGATCCCAGTTACTTGTAATATTACTACAGTTCATTATAAACGCCAAATCATTCAATCTCCGTCACCCGTTATATTCATGGTATTATTTTCTACATGTATATTTATAAACTTTCAAAGTCCGAGTTACAATTAGTGCCTTGAAGTTTTAGGGACTCTGTATGGGATCTTCTCTATATTTTATGGATTTAAGGAAGACATATATTTAAAGGAATGATTTTCGTGCTAGAAAATGCCCCAAAGTCATATTTTCTATGCATCTTATATCCTGCAGAGCTTATCTTTCCTAGTTCAGACCATTAAAATTATAAAACTCCTTAAATTAAAGGCCCTGGTGTCAAAAGTTTTTTTTATTTTAATTTTTTTACAGATGGATACGGCGGTCTAAGTGACTGGCCAGTTATTTAGGAGTAAATCATATATTTTGAAATGGTATAAAACTTTGACCTAAGCGCAGGAACGGGAAAGACAATCATTTGGAAGTATGGAACATTTTTTCTAGAAAAACTCGACTTGGCGGTAAAATCCAGGGTAAGATACCGTTTAAATTGACTTCATTTGTTGCCTATGTTTAGCTATAATGTACATGCACAAAGGAAGAAAAAAAAAGATAACCAATTTTCAAAACGTAATTTCATCCACTACGTTTTAGCAATATACTGAAATAGGCAGTGATATGTTAAATTAGATTTCCCTCCAAGCGGTATATTCTAGTGAGTTCGATTAAGACAGCCGAACTGCGACATTTAGAATCTTAATGACTACAAAATGCCATCCATTCCAAACCAGACATCCACCTTTTAATACAATATCACAACCTGACTAGTGTCAAAGTAAGTCTCCTACATTTGTCTATTAACGAAAATAAGGTTATTTTCGCATCATACATCTTCTTCACTATTGGAGAACCTAACGTTATGGCATTTTCCCAATTATCTAAATATTTGCGCTGATGACAAATCAATTTAACGATTACGAACCTATTAGGTTAAAGCCGACAGGTTGCCAGCGACATTTAGCAGACGTTACGTAGCCTAATCGGTGCGCTTGACGCTAATTTTTTTTTGCTAAGTATCATTTTTCTCTCTAGACAAAATTTTATTCCGTACAGAAAGTCAGCCACGTCACCTCATCGCCCTCTTACCCGTGCCACGTTAGGGGAGAAAGTCAATTGCCGCAGTGTAAACGGTTATACAATCAATAAACTGCCGAAGAAGGTTAGATCGAATGCCAGTCAATATCTAAAGAAGCCAGACAAAAGTCACGGCCCTTGAGTATTTATCTACAGGATGAAAAATTCCTTGACCTTCCTCTGAGATATTTAGAAATTACTAAAACAACAAACATGGCCTCGCGTTTACCAACAAAAAGCCCTGTTAGACGCTAAATACTCTCCGTCCATTGTGTGGAACAGAAGGCTATGTTTTCTCTCCACTGTTGACATAATATGTGTTCATTTGCTCGACTTGTTTCATCAAACTCTATGGCCCAGAAGTTACACAGCACTTAGCAGCGGTGTGTTGCGTCTTTCTCATGTTGCCATACACCTCCAACACTCCGTCATGGAGAGGGGGGACCCGTAACCCGAGCCACCTTCACCTCCATATCTCCCCGTAGAGACGAGATCAGATAGTTCTGAATGGCATGGAATGGACATCTTTGTAATTTCAACTTGGACTTTTAGACAGATAGATATTTGATAGTTGGATGTTCGGTATTTAAGCGATAGCCATGGAGGAACCGCCATCAAGTCAGAAAATATTTCAACTGACAAGATCGGAGACGACGTAAGTGTGTGACGTTTGAATTCTTAGTCTATTTCAACGCCATAGATACAATAAATAAGCAACTTTTTGGCCGTTGGGACTATTGTGCAGGTTACTTGATTTAGTTATTTCAGTTCAATTGTAATATTAATTAAATTTAAGGATGGGGTGCAGGCAAGTGTTTTATTGGTCTTTGGATTTCATATCAACTTTTAAAATTACGGTTAAAAAATAAAATCTATTATGAACTGAACGTTTATTCTTACAGAAAATATCGGTTGCTCGTATCCTTCTCTGCGTGAGTGACTCTATTCTCTATAATCTCATCAAAGTAAAACTAAAATACAAATTTAGCCCAAAAGCCATGCGACATAGAAATAAAAAAAGTCTCAGCAGAAAAAATGATGAAGCTATCCCCCCTGTCTCCCTAAGGTGGGTGTAAGTGATGGTGTACCTCTATACAGGTGACATGAGAGAGAACTGACAGGGTGTTGGCATATTGAATAGCACTGTTATTCATAAGTGCAAAACGCTTACAAAAGCAATAATTCCAGATCACAGTAACGAAGCCATTATCCTCCCTTATGTATTATTTCTACCAGTGTGGCTTGAGAAATCGTTTGACCACAAGTATATTATATGGTGTTGATCACGACGGACAAACCACAAGGGATAAGAGTGTATATCCTTTTAACTTCTAGATAGAATCTTATCTGAAGGAAAAGGTTATCGTATCGGACATTGACGAGACGTCTGTGGGGGCCATTATCTCTCATATATCACAACTTCTCAGGTTGGGCATTCGATCACGTTCAAGACAGACGCAGCTTTCCAAAGTTATCTGAGGATAAACAGCATAAATAATGGCGAAACCAGCTGTTTTCTTTTTCTTTTACTGCAAATGTCACCAACAGTCTGCATGTCTTGCTAACACAGTGGTTAATTTTCCATGTTAAAAAATCATAAAAATACTCGTAATCTTAAATCTCGCAGACCTTTATTGATTGAAGGCATCGAGTGTGATATTTGAAAGTACTTCAGTTTGGAGTGAAGCACTGAAATTTCATAACTGCTCGTGGAAAGGTAAATTGTGCGTTTCAATGTGAGAACAAATGGGCCTCTAGACAAACTATTGAGGGCTGTTAACATAGCATCTCTGAGCTCTATTACTGACATTAAATGTGAAAGGTGACTTTTCTTCAGATGAACACGAAAGAGCGTTTAGTTGTGTAAATATTTTAACATTCTCTAATAGACACGTTCGATATTGCAGCAATGCGACACATTAAAGGTTATTTGTCCACTCAACGCACGATTAAAATGTTTGGTGGTGACACATAACAAAAACGAGTGTTCAAATATGAGGTGTTCAATGAGATAAATCCACATTATGCTGTCATCCAAAGGGATCAGTTGTCACAGTCACAGTCCGAGAAAGACAGGGAGAAAGTCGGTCTATAAGGACAGTGAAATCAGGCCCTGTGACACAGAACGATAAAAGTGTTTGGACTTAGCTTACTTTAAATTCGGATAGTCGACTACGTTCAATCTAAAATAGTTTTATATTCGTTATCATCACTAAAAGGGCTTTTGTCATAAGTGAGTGTAAAGACCAATGACAAGACTAGCAAAGACCAAAGCAAACATATTTTAGACTACTTCTTGGTAAAGTGCTATGTAGTCGGCTAAACAGCTTTTTCAGACAAGTCGTTTTGTGAAGCAGACCCAGGAAACAATGGACAGCCGCTGAGACGAAATCTCCATGTATGTATAACCACCAAGAATGTGTTACCATTCTTGAGGCTTTCTTGATACTTCCAATGCCACTCTTCTAGTGCCATTGATATACCTTCTACCATTGTGGCAGATATTATAGGCACATTTTCCAAAAGCCAGAGAACCAAATGACCGTCTATTTATCTATAGACATATCTGTGGACATCTTGTGAAAACTCAACCTGTCACCCTGGTAGAGGGTACAATTGGTACTTGTTCCGCTATTGACAGGCATGAACGAAGAATGACTTCTGTGCCGCGATAATCATGTCAAGGTCGCCGTAAGTTCCAAGTAACTCCCAAGTGCGGAAATGTCAATTTATCTTTGAAGGATAATCAACCGTCTTATCCATCAGACAAATTGATGCCCAAGAGATATCTCCTAATGCCGGAAGAGCATATCGTCCATTTTGATGTCCTGTCTTTATAAAATGACTCATATGAAGGACTGTCAATGTCCACGATAGAGTTAGGAAGCTGTATCATTCTTTATTATGACCATTTTAAAGCTGAGATGAACTACATTGATGTAGTAGCTTGTTTGCGCGTGCTAGTGGTTGTGCGCGCGCGAGTGTGTGTGTGTGTAAGAGAGGGATAGATAGATTTATTCAAATTTTACAGAAGGGTGAATGGTGCGAAAATGGACTACATTTGGTAGTTGTCGGAAGAGGGGTGTTGAAAAAGGGTGCAATTAGTAGAGAACACAAACAAAACTCGCACAGAGAACTTTGGTCCACTCTCACTGATATATTATAAAAGAAAAGATTGCAATATTAAAGTTCATTCACACTGATTTACTAGTATGAATCTGATTTTAGTTATCAATTATTTTCAAAGCCCTAACATTGAATAAGAAGCGGGAGAAAATCGTAGAAACGGTAAAATGCTTGGTGTAACAGAGGCTTGAACTTTTAATTCTTACAGAAAATGTTGCTTGCTAGCATCCTTCTCTGCGAGAGTGACTCTGTCCTTTTAAATCTTGTTTTTAAATCTAAAATTTTACACTCTTATGCATTTTCAGAAAAAATAATATATGCTTATGTTTTCTATCGTGTTAAAGGGCCAGTGTTCCAGAGGACAAGAACAGATTGGTGCGCCTGGCCAAGGAGATGCGTGTAGAGAACCGCTCTGCCATGGACAAGGGGCACAGAGCCAGCGCCGAGTATAAGAAACGCCGGGCAAGAGTAGAGTCGGCGTCCCGGGGTTCCATCTGCAGCAGACACGGGTCCGCCGTCACGTGTCGTCACCGGCCGGACTCCGTGAAACAACCCCCGAAGTCGATTCTGAAATCTAAGACATCCACGGGGGGAACTGTGGTGACCCGGTCACAAAGCACATCTGCCGAGACGGGTAAAGAAAACAGTGCTGGGAAAGAGAAAAGTAACTGTATTCACGTGGAGGATATTGAGGACGAAGACGATGAGGGAGGCGAGGAGGATTGTGATACCGATTTGGAGAATGAAGGTATATGTCCATCTTAACATGATTATGTCACGCTTTGTCTTGTTTATACAGAGCAGCTGTCTTAGTTTAAACTTCAGTTCTTGACTGCACTTGTTTGGGTCCAGTCAAATTACTTTTTATCGATTTTTACATAGTAATTACAACTATCCTGTATTCTATATACTACGCTCATTAAATAATCACAGCATTTTCGTGTACAACCGTTATAGGAGTTTAAATTAATTCGAGTACAAATTGAGAGTTTCAGAATGTTATTTATTTATTTAGTATTGGTGTGTCGTAGACACCAAGTCTTCGTTGCTCTCTGTGCGTGGCCGCAAACTGAGGGTAAATCAATAAACGTCAGTGTGATTGTCTCGTTTAATGGCACTTACAGGGACGGGTAAACACCCCATGAAATAGTCATGCAAGCAATTGTATTGGTCGCGAATAATGTACACTACTTTTTGGATATGTTAAACATGATGGAACATTTATTTTTTCTTGCTATTGAGTTTCAAGGACGCGTTGTGCGTGTTTTGTTGATTTAACGTCCAGTCCCGCTCGTAAAGATACAATTTCGACAACAGAAGAAAATCTTACTCATAAAAGGCTGTCTAGTAAATATTGATAGTGTGAAATTCAATTAAAATCAGTTCGCCATTATATTTACAACTTTGATAAATGGTAAGTCCTTTATTAATATTTTGCAGTTGCCAAATCTCAAATTTCCAAAGCAGATAACAGCGTCGAGTATTTGTACGATGCTGCTTGCCAAAGGTTCGCCTTAATCCCCCTGTCGGCGTTCACACGGCAGCTAGAAGACGCCGATATTCAGCTTAATAACCAAGGGCTTAGTTCTAAAGACATGATGGCCATATCTATAGCTTTACTGGTGAGGGCCAATTTACCAAAGTAACCATCAGTCGTCATGTAAAGAAAAGTTCTCTCTCTATCTGTCTCTCTCTCTCTCTCTCTCTCTCTCACACACACACACACACACACATTCTTCTCAACGGTTTAGGGATGATTTGATTTTTCAATATCTATTCCACCGTAACAAGACATAGCACATCTCACGAATATATGCATTGACAATTCCTTTCCATATTTGAGTATCATATAAACTAAAGGTATGATGAGGCACATATTGTTGATGTAATTATAAAATGCTTTATATCAGCGGAATACCCTGTGTACGACGCTCTCCTTGGCTGGTAACGACATAGGGGAAGACGGGTGCCGCTATATATGTGAAATGCTGCAGGATAACGTCAGCATAGTCCGATTAGTAAGTTTTTTTTACTCAGTAAAATATTAGTAGTAGTAGTACATGTAGAAGTAGTAGTAGCACATGTAGTAGTAGCAGTAGTGGCAGTGGTAGTATTTGATTTGCATAATTATTGATGCAAATAATAGGATAATGCTATTGTGAAAATTATCACAAAAATATATATACCTGTATGCATTTTGGTGGCTGAATAAATTCACACATTTAGACAACTTCTTTTTTTTTTCAAATTTTGACTAAAAACAATAAAAGTAATGAGAATCATTTCCTGGGCTCCATCACGTGTTCAAAAACTGTATAAATTACTGCCGATTCTATGGACTCTCTTCTTTTTACAGAATGTAGCGGATAACAACTTGAAAACAGCGGGTGCCAAACTTCTGTCTTATATGTTAAAAATGAACGCCGGATTGCAAGCTCTGGACGCCTCCGGTAAGTGTCGCTGAGGGCCATGACGACATTTATTTAATTTCACTGTTAGTGTAGCTTTATGACTGCCATCAGCTCCGTCTTCTCAAGATCTTCAAACGTAGCCCAATGTTGACACTCTGGGGTGGTTGATATTTTTTCGCATTATCTAACCCAAAAACCAATTTCTTGCATCTAAAGCCCCTGTTACACCGGACTTGTCATAGCTGGGAGAACAAATTTTTTCCCATAACTACCTTATTCAAAATCGGGCTTTGACAATATTTGATAGTCAAATTCAAACATCAATGTCAATGAACTTTAAATATTGAAGCGTTTTCCCATGTTACTTATTTGTGAGAGTGGGCCAAAATTCATTTTCTAAGCGGTCCTTAGCCCGCTGTATATTTGCATATGGCCGGGATCGATTTTTGGGGGTCTAGCCGGACACTGTCTCAGGACACCACGTTGGTTATCGAGCAGGCCATAGTGTTCCTGAACTCATCGCCTTAAGGCGCAACACAGGGGAAGAAAAGTCCGCTAAGAATTTTACTAATGGGAAATTCGATCAAATATGGTGTCAGGAGTTTGCCCGGGGGGAGGACGTATATATACTCAAAGTATCGGTAAATCGACGCTATATTTACCCACACGGCGAGTGTTTACTCGGCAGTCAATGGTACACGTTATCTGTCAACAAAAATCACTTATGAAGGAGAAATGTTTTAAACTAAATTAACCAGAGTCGGTTTACAAAATGTGATCAATTGAGTTTGGATCTTACAGTTCGTTCTTTTGGAAAATAATTTGAAAATCTCCTATTAATTCAATGAAATATTCGCCCGCTTTTTTTTCTTTTATTATTTTTTTTAATTGCTTTACTTTTTAGAATTTATCACAAATCTTCTAGCTGATGTAAACTAGTTAAATTTAGGCCTGATGATATAGGATATAGAAGTAACACTGTGCGTAGATACCCCTAGAGCCTCAAAAACGATGAAGAAAAAACTAATTAGCATCTTTTAAAAGTCAAAAAACAAATTCGTCTAATCTTTTTTTATGAATGATGCAATGTGAGGCACGAGACAATTTAGGTCAAGTAAGAAAACGGCGTTGTTGGTCTCAGACTATTGCTTCTCGCCCTTCCGTGTTGACACTGTAACTCTACGGCAAAGGTTCGTACGCCATTTTGTACAAAAAAAATAGACTAAGTGGTGGATTCGCACATCGGGAGACAATGTTCGATAGTTTGGTCTCACTTCCATTTTTGTCCAAGCTTACATTTAAGGACCCAAATCTTCTATCCTAGATGAAAGAGAGCCTCAGTGTTACACGAAATGTTTGAAATGGTTGATTATCTAAACTTTAAGTGGTTGTATGGTGTTATTTTTCTAAAGGCGTCGCGTATAGCGGGTAACGTAAGGGAAGAAAGGCGCTAAAGATATACACGAAGATGATTAAGAAGATCAAGAAGTTATAACTTTATAACTTCTTGAGAAGATGTTTCTTCTTGGTAGAAACTGGTACAAAGTAAAAAAATCATTTTGTGCAATTTTTTGTGAAGTCTAGGGTATAAATGTCAATACAGCAACTGCTTTGCTTCCTGCAAAGTTGCGTGCTCACATAAAGCAAGAATTAGGCAAATAAAGTAACTTTTTTTGTCTCTTAACAGGCAATGGCTTCATTGAACACGATGCCAAATACTTCGCAAGTGCTCTGCAGGTAAGATAATTAGTCTTTCACCTACTATGTACCTTTATAGTTAGCCATCTTTACAGTGTACCCATGCTTATCGTCTTGTCATCATTCTCGTTACCAAAGTGAACGGACTAATGTGATTTTACGCATTTCTAGTGTACGGCTATGGCTGTGCATTCGTTTATTCAATGTATATACGTACACGTAGCAAGTGCACATGTAGTTGCTTTATTGCATTGGGCGCATATGGGAAGAAAGGTTTTATGTACATATGTATGCTGACATTACAGACATCGGTTTTTGAGTAGTTGGATTGGCACCGTGTGTATGTGATAGGTATCAGACGTACCTTTGTCACGGTGGTTAAACATTGGTTCAGAAGTGGGTACAGATTAAAGGCAAATAATCGGGAGAAAATGTATGAATATCAGAGTGAAATCCGATGAAAAAATGATCTGATTTGTTCGTATTAGGATAATGCAGGTAAGCTCATTATAAACCACATCAGTTAGATAAAGGAATATGTTATTTACAGAAAAGAACTATATCATCGTTTGAATAATGACAATAATACATTGTTTTCTTTTTGCTTCAACAGGACGTAAGTATTAAAATTCAAAAGAGTGGTATAGTTTTTAGGTTTGCATTATATATTATGTTACAAATATTTTATGGTTTCATAATCATTTAAGTTTATAATGAATTATAACTATTTTAGACGAATCATTTTGACTTCAGCTCACACACAAACATAGCTTCCTTCACTACATTTTACTTAGAGCAAATAAAAAAGAACATATTTTGCAAGTAGTAGCTTTCTAATGAATCATATTATTCATTAGCGATTTTTAATCAATTACTTTTTTAATATAGGATATTCCTTCCTTTTAAGTTTCAAAACAAAACAAAAAAAAAAACATTTAATAGTTTTTTTAAAAAAACCTGCATTGACTATTGCCTGGGATAGTCTTTTTCTTTCATACATGTACAGATTCTACAGTATTTATCGTAAATCATATGGTCAAATTGTATTGCTATATCTCATTCAAATACCAATAACTACGTTCTCCATTTTTTACATTTCTTAAATTCAGGCACTAATTTTGTGATCTTGGGTTTTTTTTTTAGTTTGTTAAGCTTATCATTTATAATTAACGACGTTTAATAATTAACGATGGGGGTATACGCTGTTAGATACATGTATAATTGTTTTTAAGCATTTTAAGTTTTGTTATTGCAACAGGTGACATTTCGACTGAAGGAACTGGATCTAAGTCATAACAATTTCTCAGAAGAAGGTGGCGTCTTGTTAGGCGCTGCTCTAGGTGAGTGTGAGAACCACTCTCCGCATATCTGCCTCAGTTCCGATACACAATGTTCAGTTTGTTGCGTATCGGCATCTACGACACGCGAAAGGAATTGGGACAGGACAGTTAATTAAAAAAATGCTCTAATATTTCTGCAATATGATCACAGATTTACATGTACATTAATCTCACTTCTGTAGCTTAATCTGAAATCGTGCCTTGTGTTGAAATCGAAGTACTGGAGTTATGTGAAAGGGCGGATGCTCGGGGCATCTGCTTCCAGACACATTGCCTTGTATCCTTTATTTACCCACCCCACATCCTATAAAAAAGAATCCCACGTTCAAGTAAGAATACACGATCACAACTTTTGACAGTATTGTTTTCTCCTTCTTCTCCCACAGAAACCAATGATACGATAGAAAAGCTCAACCTCAGTTGGAACAGTCTTCGAAGGAAAGGTGCCATCGCAATAGGCAAAGGACTGCGTGTAAGTAACAGCTTGGTTTGGACAAATTTGGATAATATTTGGCATGTTTCATGATTTCTGGTCTACAAGTGACTATAGAGGTAGGTTTACAGGGCATGATTTGGCAAGCACATGTGGATTCCCCTTTTCACAGTATCCCATAGTCATGGTTCGATTATGTCACGAAGGAGACGGATGTTTTTTTTTAATAGCACACAACTCTCGCTTCATGAATTTGTTGCATTCCTGAGCAAGCTAGCATCCATTAAATTTAACCTAACTGGACAAGCTTTCAAAGTATTGAGACCAAGATATCTATTAAAAATATAAAGGCCTTATCAACAATGCAATGAATGTAATACTCTGTGTATGTACATTGTACTTCATGAAGAAAAACACGATGCAACTTAGAATTTTTTCTTACGTTTGGTTTTAGAATACATTAAATGAATACTTGAATGGCTATATTTTTCAAAAATTCCCACACATCATCTCGTTGTCTTTGCAGTCCAATTTAGGAGTGAAACAACTCGATCTCTCTTGGAATGGCTTTGCCACAGAAGGTGCTAAGGAAATAGCGGAGGCGCTCCAGAAAAATTCCACATTAGTCGATCTGGACCTGTCGAGTAACAGAATAGACGCGGAAGGGGCTGCATACTTGGCAAAGGGGTTACAGGCCAACTATACCTTAGATATACTTAAGGTTAGCAAAGAAAGTTGAACATACCTGTACAGTGTACTTCACCAATGTTGAATATATGGGTCCTGAATTTTAAACTATAATTTGAATGTCTTTTTACGTTTACTAGTAGAATATTTTTAGTTAAATTTTCATTTATTTGTGTTATTTTCAGGGCTTTAAGTTTTACAGTTCAGTCTGACCGTGTTATTTTAAAATAACTGTCTCATGTTTATAGCCGTACCGTAATAAATACTGAAAGGATTCTTAGCGACGACCGAATGATGAATTATATTTCCTTGAACTACCTTTTAGGAATACATGTTGGCTTATTGTTTGCACATAAAATTTATGTCGTGCTACTTTTATTTTAAAATGTCTTTTTTTCCTACAGCTGAGTAAGAACCCTCTTACATCATTTGGTGCACAACTCATTCTGCAGACTCTGAAGAAGTCAGAAACATGCCAGTTGAAGACACTGGAATTGTTTGTAAGTGTGATATGTCCCTGGCCATACAGGCCATTTTAAATCTAAAAATAATATGCTTAAGGGGATTTCTAATAAAATAATGGGATAAGTCGTTTGAAAATTAAGAAATAAGATTTCCATTCTGTTTTAATCCGATCTGTCAAATCCACTTAAAAGGTATCTGTTTATATCGCAGGTGCGTGGCTGCCTGGCGCGAGTGGAGTTTTTTTAGGTTTCTTTCACGTTTGTTCTGCTAAAGCAGTAATAGTATAGTGTGTTTTATGCTCTGATTCTTTTTCCTTGAAATGTCATTTAAGCTGGGGATATTTCCAAGGAATCCTTCCATTTACGCGAAATCCTTTGTATATCATCTGTTTAAAAACTGGGTATTTAATCGCAGCAAAGTAGGCTTGACGATATTTCCGCGAAGGAGAAATTGTGTGATGATGAAAAAGTATTCAGTTGCCATCGGACATAAACTTCAAGTATTCTTACATCCCGATAAATTATACATTAAGTCCTCTGCAATATTGTTAAATCTGCCTTGATTATGTTCACTGGAAAAGAGACATTAGATTCTGCATGACGTTTTCTGTTCAGATCTGTTCTACCGTCTTTAAACGACATTCATCACCGCGCTATTGTGGCGCGATTTCATCCTGTATTCTCCCTGACGCCAGCGTTCCAGGTGTTTCCGGAATAATCACAGAATTTGTCATTTGCGTCGTTAATATCCTCTCACATGAAAAATCGAGAAATTGTCCGCACAGTTTCAGGAAAATGAGCATATCCAGATTTCCTCAATATAGCCTTTCATGATTAATAGAAATGCTGTGAAATGCAGACACGTTACAATTATAAACAGGCTACCTGCCACTGTCAGGAAAGATATCCTGCGTTTTTTGTTAATTCCTTTTCATCATACAAGGTAATGTTTTCTCGGAAGGGAAGAGATATAAATGAAGAGCAATGGAATGAATAGAAATGAAACAAAATGAAGTAAAATGGAAAAGTATTATAGGAAGAACCAGGGTAACACAAAATGTGTGTCGTTAAAACCGACTTATAGAAAAGGGTCATTTGGTCCACACCTTTTTAATAGAATGTCAAGGTTACTTCAGCGACACATGTACCGGTTTGAAAAATATGTTTACAAAATAACACCTTTAAAAAAAGATATGATTTTGTAGACTATTTTAAACGCTATTTGGCACTTTCTCGCTGTGAAAATTCTGCTGGGGTAATCATTAGGCACAATAACTATTTTGACATTTCACTAAATTTTAGGACCTTCATCTTGAGAAAGATGCCATAGAATTAGGTCACGAGGTCTGTGAACTAAGGCCAGAGTTTGACCTGGTCTACGGCGTCTCGCTGGGGAGTAAACCCAACATGTACGGAGGCTTTAAGAGGAGGACGGTGAAGGAGAAAGAGGTGGAACGCCCTAAAGAGCCCCTGCAGATATTGCTGGATTTTGTACAAGAAAAGGGTATTAATTTGATGGAGCTGTTCTCCCAGTTTGACGAGGATAATAGCTGGAGTGTCAGTAGGGATGAGTTTAAACAAGGAATGAAGGTAAATAACAGCAATAAATGAATAACTAAATAAATAATGATAATAATAGATTAAAATTAGGTATAGATTAATAAATAGATAAATGTATAAAAATATTATTCCATAGATTAAAATCTCTAGGAAAGAGAGAGAGAGAGAGAGAGAGAGAGAGAGAGAGAGAGCAGAAAAGGCAATTACACAGTGTTTAATAGCTTTATATAATATTATATTGTAAGGTGTAGAAATACATATATATATGCTGGGTGGAAAGCTGCATATTATCTTTACCCAATATTACATATGTCATTAATACGGAGAATTTGTTGCGATTCCAGAACGCCAAGATCCCGCTTACAAACGCCCAAATGGAAGAACTGCTGGATTCTCTCGACAAAGATGGCGACGGGGAAGTTGATTTTGGGTGAGATCTTAATTCTTATTTGTAGAAAACGTGCCAGAAATGTTAATAGATAAAAATGAAACATGCATTAACCCCATAAGGTCTGAAATATTTTTTAAAATATTTCAGACCTTATGGGGTTAATGCATGTTTCATTTTTTTTAAATAATTGTTAATGAGTACGCGGAGGTCTCTTGCACAGCATTTTCTATCGTAAAAGTTACCATTTTTGCATGAAACTTTTCTCTTCGGTCAAGCAAAATAATTATGGGACGCAGACTAAAACATATTATACTGCTAAGTTATTATTGTGTGCAAACATTCCTGTTTATCACTATCTAATACGTATCTCTCTACTGCATTTCATCTGCTCTTCATGATGTACGTGCCTAAGAAAAGTCACACACCAACAGTCTGAATACTCGTGTACAAATGATGAATCAAGATTAATCTAAAGACCCTCTCATGTTTTTCTTTCAGAGAACTAATGTTTGGCAGTAAAGAATTCGAGGATAAGCAGCGAGAGCGAGAGGAGGAACTGCGGAGGGCCGCTCTGGCAGAGAGCCTCTGTGACACGGCTGTTCTCGTCGCGGAGAGGGCTGACAGTGACGGTGAACTTGGAAACTAGTGATATCCAATGGTTTATTTATGAAAAACACGGTCTTATGCAGTGAATGATTGCAACCAAGCTGCAAAGAAAGCAATTCAGGGGCATAATTTGATCAAACAATTTACGCCATACATTTACAGTAGGAAATAGGCTACGCCCCAAGTCTAACAGAAACTGTTTTCTGTCATCAGCAAGTTGTGGAGAAGGAATTCTGAGTAGAAAAACTCCAGACTGTGTCTATGGTGTCGTAAAAGAGACACCACATTATCTTGAAGTGCCATTAGCTAACCAAAGGGACGGTTGTATGTAAATGCGTTAGAGACGACGACCATATCGACGAAGTTACGAAGCACAATCAGTTCACACCTACCGCAATTTGACTATGCATCGGAATGAGGTGTGCGATGAGAAATATGTCCGGTTTGGTCTAGTTTGACAATTACAGCTAAAGTTACATCAGAACTTTTATAAGTGTATTTGGCGTTGGATTCAGTGATGTCTGTGTGGCAGCAACTGGCGAGTTTTAACTGTGATAAACTGAAATGTGGTGTAAAACATGTCTTATATATATGATACTGTGATAAATATGGCTGAATCCGCGCGTCAATATAGCGTAACATTCCATGAACCTTTTATGTATATGACGTCATCGAGGCATATTGATTAAAATATGTTCTACTACAATTATAATTTATATGATAAATATTAGTCTCTCTCTTTCTCTGTCCTAAAATAATTAATATTAGACAAAAAATGAAATAATAGAAAAAAATAAACGAATAAATAAATGAATTATTAAATGAAAACACGCCATTAATCTGCACAATTAACTTTTAAATGCGCTCCGAATGTAATTAATCAGAATTTTGGTTTTATAGGGCTGGTACAGGTTTGTACAGGTATGTCATAGTAGAAAGGTATTCTTGTTAACTGTCAATTTCTTCCTCTACCTCATGCGTGGAAGCACTAAGGGTAATTCTCTCGTGTATCTTCCACGCCAATCCAGTCCATAGTATGACGTCCCTGTTTATTGATGGATCTTACCAATTATCTCGAGGGTCGTAGCAGTAAAACGTGCGTCAAAACTTTGAGTTTGGTGTTGTAAAATAACACTTAAAGGCGTCATAAATAGGTGCAGTACCCACCTTCCCAGATAATACATGGAGATTACCCAGCAGTTGCATGGTAGGGGGTAATAGGAAGGGCACGAGTATGTACATGTCTGTCATAATTTTATCAAGAAATTTCATCTCAGTAATGTTTAATTCTGGTGCACATTCACATTAATACGTCTTATGGCACCGTTATGTAGCACAATGAGAGCATTTTATATATGGCGACTTTGATCTACGAGAGGAGCATGACGTTTCGCGCGCTTGAATAGACCATAAAGAATATTTATCGCTGGTGTCGCGATTTTGTGTTTGCTTTTAATGGCAGAATGTGAAAATATACCTGCGCTTCATTTTGAATCTGACAAGAAATCTGTATAGGAAGGCGTAGAGAATGACGTACAAAATCACTTGCAGTGGGACTGGACCTCTCACATCTTTTTACTGTGCGTCTTTTCTATGGAATTTTCCCGGGTATGCTGCAAATTAAAATATTGTCACTGAGGACTACAACGACGAGCTTTTTTAAAATTCGTGTCACATTGTAACATATTGTTTTCATATTCTATCAGAACTATTACAGGCCTACCCAACTACCAGACTCGGCACCGAATGATCCTGAATTCACCGGTAGATCGGACCACACTACCCGTTTTCAAGGTGTGTATCAGTACGCATTTCACAGTATCAGACGCGACACCGCTTTTGCCTAGTACGCGATGTGATAGTGACGATTCTCAGCGGGGTTGAAAAGTATTGCATCACCACTCAAAATTTGTTCGGGGTATGATATTGTGTAATGCGTACTGACTCACACCTTGAAAACGGGTAGTGTGGTCTGATCTACCGGTGAATTCAGGATCATTCGGTGCCGAGTCTGGTAGTTGGGTAGGCCTGTATCACAAACGGCTCGTTGTATCGGCTGATTGAATAAAAAGATGCACACTATCGTGCTTCAAGAGGAGGATGCTTAATTTTCCCTTAACTATGAGAAATTGTGTTTCTTCATTTTCATCCTTTTTCGGTAAAAATCAGGTTCAATCCACCATCCTAGTTCTGGAAAAAATAGGGCCCGGTCTACCCTCAATATCGCCTAAGATATATACTACTTCTACACGTACCACTACTACTTCTAACACCACCACCACCACCACCACCACCACTACTACTACTACTACTACTAATACAAAGATAAAATGGTAATTTTAAAGTTTTTTTAATGAGGCACACACTCCTTATCTCCAGAGTCTTGCACATGCACGCCATTAGCTGAGTTTGAGCCTTTTATTACGTCTGTACTAGTATATATATATGACCGATCGACCCCTTGGGACCATAGACGCGCATTAAAACGTCGTAGATTGAGGGTAATTTGTGGATGTTCATATAATGCCGTATCATAAAGGTGAGGGGTTCATTGTAGTTATAAAATAAACATGAAGTATCGACCATGGTTACCACTCAGAATTCAGGTGTTATTAATTTGTTGGACGCGGTAAGGCTGTGGTTTCAAACTTCAACACCTGACAGCGAGGAAGATAGAGTTACGTTTTCTCTTCTCAGGTAAGATACTGTCATTGTTTATCAAAATATGTATTAATTTTAATAAATGATAATTAATAATTAAAAGAAACAAGATACATGTTAATAGTCTGAAACGATTTAAATTGTGATGTCGAATACTCTTTGAATACAATTTGATAAGAATGTCATTATTCAAAATTATATAACAATCAAATATTTTTATTCTACTATTTTGTGCAATGTCCAAATTTCCCTCAAGTCCATCCACGTTCGTTTGTTTGATGTAATGTTGAAATATATATCGGCCAACCTACGCCGGGGCCCTTGACACAAAAACCATCGTAAATCTTAAGAGCAGAATAAGCTTAATAGTATCATACACATCCGATACGTCGCAATTTATGTTTATGTATTTGTCAGGGGTTCTCGGACTAACAGAAAACTTGATCCTTACGAAGCTGGTGGTTCATTATCTCTCTACGTAACACTGCTTACTATGACTGATGGATATTCTGATAGCGATGAGAGTGATCTCGAAATTACAGGTAAGTATTCATGTTGTATTTATTATAAAACTAACAATGATCAAAGAATATTAAAGATGTAAAATGTCATTTTGACATATTTTGTATTTTGTGTATTGAAGTGTACAACTGTGGTACAAAATCTATCTATATGTTCTTAGCTACCGGATTTAATGGGCATTTTGTGGACAATGCTAAGTGCCTACAGTCCGTTTCTTAAATGAGACTTTGGGGAAATTTTAGTTAATTACATGAATATGGCTGTTGTCCTGTTGTTGCTATGGTAACAGCAGGGGCTGGTGACTAGTTACTCTGCGGCGTCCGGCGTTTAGAATCATGAAATATAGCTAGTAAATGAAGACGACCTTTTCTATTTATGTAATATTTTGTTGTTGTCGTTTTAAGGTTTTGCAGTCAGTTTATATTTTACCAGTCGGCAGTATCTGCCCAGAAATGCCCAACATTTACAATTGCATATAAAGTGCATTTCATTTTCTTTTACGTTGCAAAAAAGAAAGATGCATTGATCTGTTGGTATTTATGGAGAGACAAACCTTTGGCTCTCAGTGTTAAATGATCAGACACTAAGCAACTTAAAAAATACTGCCACCCTGCAAAAACCTGACTTGTGCGTCAGGCGGTGTCCTTTGTTTTCTCAGGAAATATTGATCAACCCGTAAGCACAGAAGCCATTTGGGCCAGGTCTGTTGTTCAATTATTTTAATCTATTCTTTTTTTCAGGGTCTTCCTATGATAGGAGAGAAAACCAGCTGAGCTGTTCAATTTGTCCTAGTTTCATCCAAACTGTATCATTTTCGCCCAATCCTTGTTGTTATTGCTTATTCTTTGGTTTCGTGTGCCCCTACCATTAACAAATATTCCATTCATAAGTTTGTCATCAGACGTATTTGCTCCATATACCTTCCAGAACCATCAAAACGATCGCGTGGACGTGTCACCGGAGATTCTGCCTCATTGTACGTCCAAGCGTGTCACCAGGGCGGTCTGACGCCATACTCGTCCATCACCAGACAGTTGGAGGACCAGGGCTTGCAGAAACTGGACCTAACAGACAGAGCGCTGGGACCAAGGCAGGTCAAGCCAGTGACCGTGGTGTTGCTGGTAATATTGGGTTTTATATTAAAATGATTAACCACAAAGCAACTGGTATGCTTGGAGCGTGCAGCCATATTACCCCCAGTAAGACATTGTCTAAAATGCCCCCGTTGCGTACAGGAGGTACACCTCTGATGCTTCTCCCTATGGCTTTTTAGAAGATCACCGCTATGTTTATCGTTTTTTATTTTGTAAATTTCAGCTCTGACGAATTGCTTTGATTCAATCATACTGTGCCCTGCTTCGGTAAAAATGTAAACACTCACCAAAAACGTATGAATAGTATAGAATTTATTTCATACAACTTCACAAACGTTTAATTTCAAGTTAATTTCAATTTGCTGATACATTTTCTTAGACAGTTACTCATGTGACAGAGATAGATATCACCAACAACTGCATAGGCGACCAGGGAGTGACATATCTCTTAGAGGTACTACAGGAGAATGTTTATGTTTCCACATTGGTACGTTTTTTTTTGACCGACAGGGGGTTTAAATTAATTAAAGTATCTTATAGAATTCAAATCACATCCAGCATTCCATATTTGTTGTACATTCCAGCTGATGTTCATGTACGTGCATTGTTTGTGCCCAAGTTAATTTAATTATTAAGTTAATTTAATTAATAAGTTAAGTTAATTATGAGATGACTCTTAAATAACTAATGAAATATGTATACACATTATAAGAGTTTTTCAGTTGCTAACACACTGATCTTCAACCCTTTTTTTATATTCAGAAAATTGCCAACAATGCTCTCACCATCACGAGTGCCAAAGCCTTGGGGAGGCACCTGTCTTCAAATGGATCTCTCCAGCATCTTGACATCTCAGGTAAGAATAACGACGTAAATGCTTGCAGAAGGGGCTTAATCCACTTTCAACCACCCGTGAGTTAAAAACTGATGAAAACCTTCTACAGTCCTCAACAAGTACCTAGTAAATATTGCTTAGTCATGCACCTTCTTCATTATTAACACAAAATGTTGTATGAAAATATTTCAAGTCATATTTACGGTTACATCTAGTACACTGTCCCTGTGTTTTACTGCCAGTGCGGGGGAACTACACTTTTTGATGGGGTGGTTTCGTTTCTGATAATATAGACTTTAAGCCTAAAGTGTACTAGAAATATTGGCGATATAAAATAAAAAAACGAGTTGTGTGTCTAAGAAAACTCCTCCAAATGGTTTCGTAATGGATACTTACTACAAATACAGACATGACGTACTTTACCCTTTTCACTCTCGTCACATTCACAGTAACACGTTATGTACAGTGCGAAATGCGTTAGTTGAGCTTCATTCAATTAAAATACAGCCATAGGGAATGTTGTTTACTTGTGGTTACAAAAGGGTGCACTACCCTAGGTTCTAGATTTCATTTTTGCCAGCTCGATCTTGATTTCATATATAACCCATATCATCAAAACTGAAGCTATCCCACTTTGAAGCCATCCCATGAAAACGTTTGAATAGTTAGCAAGCTAGCTTTACAGCGGCCCTAACACTCCGGGCAGGGTGCACTGGATGGAGTGAAAACCGTTTCAAGATTTCATCAAAGCACATCATGATCCATACAACAACAAAAAAGTAGCTTTTTTTCTTGAGAGAGGTTGGTAGGTAATCAGTAGGTAATAATTTCTAAGTGAAATTTAACTGAAGCCCGAAGGATTATATTTGATTTCTCAAGTTCGCACTGTTTTTGTAAGTATGTTTGTTTTTCTCAGCTGTGTTGTTTCCTTGCAGGGAATAGATTTAAAGACACTGAGGTCCGATATCTAACAGACGGATTAAAGGTAAAGGGAATTTGTTGGCAAATTAACTTTACATAGTAATAATACTTTATTCATTCTACTGTATTGATATTGTGTGAAAATGACTGGTTTTACAAATATGGCAGTTCGAAAACTTTCCGGCGCGGGTGAAAGTCTGCAGTGTTGGAACTAGCACTATTTGACATACGCTATAAAGAGCAAAACACGTGGTGCAACATCGTGTTTTGTATAAAATAATACTTTAAATAACACATAGGTATTAAAGCGGTAAGACAAAATGTAAGGAGAATACATACTTCTGCACTCCCGATCTCTTCTGATGAAAACCGCAGAGTTGTCAAAATGTCTTGTTTTCTACCCCTATCCTGCTTTTTGCATGACGAAATCAAATATCATGGACTTCAGCAGTTGCTGTCATATCATATCACTAGACCTTATGTCGCTGGCTTTGATTAACTAATGACATCGGGTTTTATCGTCTCGTATTTTTTCGTTGAAACGGTCTCTTGAACTATACCTGTTATTCATGCCTTCCCACAGTTAACTGCTGTTATGATGGTATCGTATTTTAGCAGGCGTTAAATTCCCACGGGAGACCCCAATAGTAAAAACCCGTGTATCCTTAGAAGATATCTGAGTTACTCGTCTTAAAGTGTCATTCATCTTTCCAGGAAAATCACGGACTGCTACAGCTTAATATGTCTCACAATGAATTCCGTGAAAGCGCGGGTTATGCGCTTGGAGAAGCACTGGGTAAGACAGTAAGACAACACAGTGTCCATGGCCTTTTCTTTAAACGTTGTGAGCGCTTATCTGGTCTTGGCATTTTACAGTATGTCTGTTTTCATATATTTTTACAAGTGATATGCCAAATTCCATTTTTTAAAACAATGCCAAGTAATGTTAATTGATGTGAAGTTTCCGACATGGCAAGACCGAATGAGACCAAAAAGAAATGAATACAATATGTAAGCACAGTTGAAATGGGAACTTTGAAAATATGAAATATGACCCGGGGGAAATTCTGAAGATTAGATATATAATAAAGAAGAGGGAACAATGAAGCTGATTATAAAGTATTGCATATACACATATTTCACTTTTCTACACATTGCTGATCGTCTTTGTGTGAACAGTGCTAACAAAAAGATGAATAGCTATGTAGAGAAGAGTTTTAGAAAAAAATGTTCTGGCTAAATTATAACGCAGTGATAACATTCAAATATATTGTTACACTGATTGCTTATTGGCGCCATGTAAATTAACCCGTCTCTTAAATAAATTAATTAATTAATATATCTGTATTTTTCCTATATTTCATTGAAGCTGTTAACGATACCCTAGAAGATCTGGACTTGTCTTGGAACCATTTCAGATTGAAGGGCGCGATCGCTCTAGCAGATGGACTAAAAGTAAGCAACGCTTTTTTTTCAAATTCAAAACAACATTGCAATGGTATCCTGTATAATGGTTATGCATTTTAAGCCTAAACATCTTGTTATTTTATAGTTCTAATAATTTTTCTCAATTTCATATATAAATCAATTTTTTTTACTCTAATCCTCTCTGTACTAGAGATAGGCATATTGTATTATTCCAACTTATAATTGAGCAGTTCAAGGTTGCCATATTAAAGTAAACAAATGCTTTTTTTCAATAAGTGTCATCAAAGTTTACACAAACACTCTGAATAACGAAGTCCATGTCTTAGGTTAACCAGGTTCTAAGGGTACTAAACGTTTCTTGGAACGGATTCTCTGACGACGGCGCCAAGGCCATGGGGAACGCCATGAAGTGTAACAAGATCTTGAAGGAGCTAGATCTGTCCAATAACCGAATTTTCATGGACGGATTAACGGATCTCATGAACGGATTAAAGCGAAACACTTCCCTGCGAGTGCTGAAAGTAAGTGCAGTTCTACTTTCATACTGCAGAAAATGAAGAAAATAAGGAAAATAAGTGGTTGAATAATGTGGAAAACGTGTTGTTACATAAACATGTATTGTATCTTGCTCCGTTGTTCTCAGATGTAACAACATTTGACAAACAGCTGGCAGCGAGGGTTATGAAGGCAAACATGGATAAAGTGACTCATGAACTAAGGCAATGTGTTCTTAGAAGACGTTTTCACACAACTGCGTGCAACGTGCCAGTTAATATCTTCTCCGATGGCTTTATAAAACCACAGTTTTTTCTTAAATGTCACTGTTTGGCAGTGTTTAAGACAAACAACTAAGATTTGCTTACCATTGCTATCTGTATATTTATCTATTTATTTATTTTTGCAATCTCAACCATGTATTGACCAAAATCCTGTAACTAATCCCGAATGCCTAAACTGTTTACTTCCAAACCCGAAAAAGGTTCATTATGTATCATTCTGACAGCTTTACTAGTATTGGGAGCCAGTCAGAATATAAGGTACGGCTATCAACTGGTCTACGGCTAAAATATGGAGGACCCTTTATAAAAGGAAAGCCGCTTAATCCTGTAATGATCTCTACGCCTCTGTAATGGACTCTCCCCACGTCTGGTCGAATGGGGCTGAGATTTAATTACTGTGCACCTGCAGGGACCACGCGTTGGAAAGCGTGTAAGAAGCCGAGAGGCTAACCCTGCACCAGTGGTTTTAGTTTGTCACACAATCGAACTCGTGCAAACGTCGTTAATGCGTTTTTTTCCTTTTTTTCAGCTGAGCTTTAATCCTTTAACGACCGCAGGCGCCTGGTTTCTTCTTAGTCTTCTCAGGAACAACCCGTCTGTGGCCATTCGGTATCTAGAACTGAAGGTCTGTCTTTAATATGTAATTTTAAAAAATAAATTTTACGATTGTACGATTTTATAATGAAGGCAATATTAAACCATGTGCTTCGGCTGGTAATGACATTTCCATTTGTTTGTCAAATGGAAGAATTTTTGATTGTAGAAGTCATGGTCAAACTTAGTATAGGAGGGACTATAATTCCAGCAAATATCTAAACAAGCTTTTGAAAAAAACATTAAAGGGATAACAACTGTTCGTAGGATATCCATATTTCACTATTAATACATTGCAAACAACTCATAGAAATATAATAAATACTATATTACCACCAAAACGGCGTAGAACGCATTTATTCTGAAGTTTGTGCTTGCCATCACATCACATGACCTCCATAAATGGCTACACTCTGTAATAATATCTGAAAGTCATAATAACTCTTCGTTTTGGCCAAAAGTACGATTTTCCTGGAAAAAACGGCAATTTTCCCGTACTTACCAATGGTCAACGACCCCATTCCTGCATTCAAAGTTAATCCAGGGTTTTTTTCATAAACGTACGTTTTTTGTTAAAATCTCTTAAGAGATTTTAACTGACGGAGCCCTCTCGTATCGAGCGACAGTTTCTGGTGACCTACTTAAAACCGCGGGAAAAGCAGACAACAACAACACTATATAACAATATTATAAGATTCATAAGATATATTCGTCTTTTTGCTCAAAATGCATTTATATCTACACTGTGTGCATTTCTGGGCTTTTCGTTATCCGACGCACTGTACAAAAACTCGCAACTTACGTCTGAGGGTTTCCCGCCATGTTATTTTGGTCTCGAATGAACGCGAGAATCCGCGTGACACCTAAATGTCATTGGCAACGGATGCACTTGTCGACCGCGAAGAAAGGCATCGAAAGCCCAAGTGACAAGCACAGATTTTAGTTTTACTACAATAACAGTCGTTTTAGTGGGAAATGCAATAGAATATATTTCCAGGCGTTGTTTACAATGTATTTCTTGCGGAATTTTGAATCTCAAAGGAAGAGTTATTATTGCTTTAAGAGAATATTACAAAAAACTGAACTTTTTATTAAAAAACCAGGGACAATGCGGGAATGGATTCATTAATCATTGGTAAGTATGGGAAAATTGTCCTTTACCCCAGAAAAATAAATTTTTTGGCCAAAATAAACAGTTGTTATGCCTTTGAGAATGATGTGCAAGATACAAGATGCAAGATGCAATATCACACAGTAGCATGAAGTCGACTTTCGATGACATAAAGTAGATAATTTAATAAATAAGAATTGAAGGTTTCCTAATATGATAATTGACGATGTTCTTTCAAAATAATCGAATTATGCAGCTACATTTCTTTCTTGTTCAGTGGAATTATAATTTAAAAAAACTTTTAGCCGATATAAATTTATTAAATTCAATATTTTCCCTCTTAGAATATACCCGTAAGTTACCGATTCCTAACGCTGAAGGAGGAACTGCGAGTCACGCGCCCGTCTTTCAAGGTGATCCACGGTGAATTCGTGCGTTCCGAGGACGTGTTTGCCAAACGCTGGGCCGACAGAGACGCCTTCCACGTGGACCCCATGTTTCTACTCCAGATGTATGTGAGGGACAGTGGTCTGAGGATGACCGATCTCTTCTCGCAGTTTGACCACAACAAAGATTGGGCCATCACGCCGGAGGAGTTTAGGAAAGGGATACGGGTAAACTGAGAGACTTTCTTCTCGAAGAGAGCAGTCAATTTACATGCGAGTTTCAGTATTTGATTTACTACTCCTTACTACATAAAGATTACTTTGCCTGACTATAAGTGAAAATTATGATCGTGTAAACAGCTTTTATAGTTTGAAACTGTTTGTCTCTTGACCTTTATTTGAAAGACGACATTGAAGGAAAGTTTTAGTACTTCAAAGCTTGTCCTTTAAGGCTTGTTACAGTTTTGCTGTTTATGTGTTCACACATCCAACGTAAATATATACCACATACAGCTTCATTAGAGAAACACATGCAGGTAATTCCATAGCAAAATTTCACGATCAAAGGTCACGATCAAAGGTCACTACGCTCACAACGATTTGCTTCCTTTAAACTTTGAAAACAGAAGCACACACCCCTACATGTATGTTATATTATACTTAGATGGCTGGAATACCGTTCAGTGAGGCGCAGCTTGACGAACTTCTGGCAGAGATAGACACCAATGACAACGGAGAGATTGATTATAGGTAGGAGATTTGTGCAGGACACTCCCTAGCATTAAAAATTGTTAAGTAAATTTGACTTTTATTTTTAAGAAAATAATAAGTCAAACCAGGTATGAACGGATTTTTTTCTTCTGTCACAAATTACTAGGACACTGGCACATTTATGTATCACTGAAAATTTCATTTTTTGTTCTAGAGAGCTTATGTCAAGTCACAAGCAGTACAAAACAAAATGGCGAAAAAAACTAACAAAGCTTTCGCGGAGAACTACCTCGTTTCTCAGTCGCGTAGACGTGATCAATTACAGCGATAACCCCCAAAGTGGCAAAACTGTGGCAGACGACCAAAATAGCGCCTACAGACTTTCAAGCATGGTTGCACGTTCGCGCAGTCCTGCAGCGCCATCTCGGCCCGGGTCGTCTCTCCGGCCGATAGGAGAGTCCAACAAGGAGGAATTACCTGATATCTCAGCGCCCAGGACGTTTGGGATTAGATCAAACCCTGAGTCTTTGTTAAAAGTAAAAGAAATGGGAGCATCTACCTCGACAGCAGCTAAGGATCTATCTTTGCCGGTAGTTTCAAGCAGGCCTGTGTTGGATGTTAAGCATCGCAGACAATCACTAAAATTCAGCAATGAATTTCGGAAATTCGTGATTGAAGCTGACTGATTACTCTTGACACTAATCATGTGAAATAGACTGACAAACAAAAGTTTATAATTGTCACGATTATTATTCTATCTGGACGGAATGGTGAACACTAAAACGGCAAAGGAGTACACCAGGACAAAAGTTTTCATTGCAACAATAAACAAGGGCAAATAAATGGGCCTACGGTGGAGTATAAGTGTCCATTTATACAAATATAAATTATTTACATGTATAAATTGCAGGTACTTTAAATGTGTGAATACATCAGTTAATGGACTCTAGTGTCTTCCTTTCTTTTCCAACCAAAATATAGTATGTGTACCGTATACAATTACACAGCGGTTGTCTGTAAACTGCGACTTTCACATGAAATTGAACCTTCCTCTTCACTACAAACGCACTAAAATATATTCATTCCTGTTTACCTCATATAAATTCAAAATAAAGGAAAACACATCTGATATTATGCAAGAACTTATAAGTTACGCGAATCGCCACCTTGTGACGAGGCATTATACGAGCACTGTTGTTTTAAATAAAATACTATTTTTCATTATAATTTTCTTTTTTTCTTCATAATCATAAGACAAAGCCAGTTGATTTATAGTTTGTTGCCGTCTTTACAACGATGCACCACATTTTGTGGTAGATTCAAACAAATCAACCCAAGTTGTACATGAAAAAGATTACACAGAAAGTTCCTGTCATTGTCTTCATACGCGGCTAGAAATGGTCTGAATGCTTCTGTTACCGTTGTTACACGAAATTGTGCTTTTCCTTGAGAATCTACTGGAATTCACGTCTTCCACCGTGACACTGCATCGACACAACACTGTGGTTGCCAGTTTGCGAAACCGTCTTCCAAACATACAATAAATAAAGAAGTTCGCCGAAGAATTGATCACGAGAAGGCCATTTGTCGCGTGTAAAATGTAAGAAAATGCGATTTTGACTTCATCGGACTGCTCATTTTCTGTGATCGTGCTTATCTGCCCAGTGACGTCAGGAAGCTGACATATGATGAAAACAAAAACGACACTGATAAGCATAACTGTGACGTCATCTCTCTTAGAGTATGACGAAATCCCGAGAACCTCCTTGCGTGTTTTTCTATTCTTCCTGACAGCTAGCACTAAAAGTGTGTTGAGCACTGTTAACGTAGTCAAAGGTCCTACAAGAATAACAGCAAAGTATAGAATGACCTTGTAAATTAACTTGTAATAAAAGCTCGTGTCAAGTTCTGTCGACAGCACGCGGTAGAACGTGACGTTTCCACAGGTCGGGATGTCATACGTGACGTCAGTTATGTACCGTTCAAAGAACCGTGGAATATTGTAAATGACGGCCGCAAGGAAAACGACCCAGGGAACATGAGCAGCACGCTTTGCGCTGAACCTAAATTTACTGAAGGGACGACAGACGGCAAAGTAACGGTCTACCGTTACCATCACCACCATCCACACTGACGCCGTTTGCCCGGCGTACATTAGCGGGAGCAGCCAGATCAGTAAGAAGGGGTACACGAAGAAGTAGTATTCCTCCAGACCTCGAATGTGTGGGTAGCCATTGGGGAGGACACTTGTCGGCAACACGAAGATTAAAAAGACGCAGTCAACTAGAGCTAGACCGCGAAGCAGGTGCTTTAAGTGGGCCTCTGACTTATCCCTGGAGAGGACCACGATGGATAGAATGTTGCCGATTATCCCAGCTACGGCCACTGTTCCGATGCAATAAAAAGAAAAGATATAACTGAACAGAGTCTGCTCAGTTTCCTTGAAGAAGACAAGGTCCGGGTTGTTTTCACAAATCATTGTCACTGGAAGTGACTTTCTTCAATGTGCTTGTATCAGTCAGCTTTTTCCTTCTATGGTGATTCCGTTTGTGCGTTGTCGTAAATAATATTGTACGTGTACGTTATATCTGTTATATCGTTTTTCTTACATAACATATTTTTCCCCGTGTTGCATCTTTTTTCGCCTTAAATCTTTTGTGCTGTGCTTCCGGTCAGAATATCGGTGCATGTATTTCTTGTCCGTTTTTCAGATGTCCCGGATTAGGTTTCCCCTGTTAAAAGTGTCCGTATTTCATAAGGTAATTCGTAGATTTTGCGGCTTTTGGTTGTTCTGACAGCAACTTTACCGCTACGCCGTTCAATTTATCTAAAACGAAGTGAAAGACTACCACTTTCAACAAACTGAGCCCAGATCTAAGCAATTCAACATTGTGTGTGAAGAAAAATGCCTGGAACGTCTATTAAATGAAAGCTATGAATTTTTGATCAATCCCATAACATTTGTGAATCACTCGGTAAAACCTTTCAAGTCTCTCGAGGATTGAGCCATTTCGTGGTCGTAAAATGGTTTGATGGACGGAGTGTATTGTTAATAGACAGAAGTTAAACATATCTTGCAGTGTCTTGTTCTGCAGTACACGCATCAGCGAATGCATCCTCTGAATACAGAAATAGCATGCGCCGCGCGTTTTAATCCGTTCCATTAATTCCTCGTTGAAGAAACTGGATAATTAAGTATTTTCGACACGATGGACGGGTTGACACAGCGCTCATTAAGCCACTACTTGATTTGAGTTCTGTTTTCACACGGCCTCCTCGAGGACGCTGCATTGTTTAAATTGATATCTATTCAATGTCCTGTGTCAAGCCGTACAGGGAACGCCAGGTTAGCATTTGACATTCTACCAGTAATACATGTACTACATGTGGTACGACATAAAAAATCTTTAACAACAACAACAACAATAGCTACCTAATGTCGAAGTCCTTGATGATCTATCCCATGTGAATATAAACGTGAAATAAGCAGGTGATTCATTTTATGAGCATTGCGGTTTAAAGTTCAAATGGAGGACGACAAAGTACATGTACATGTATCTAGTTATAAGTCGCGTAAAGGGTGGTGTTTTATCGTTTTATTGCCAGGCGATTAGAACTGAATTTATGAATTATTAACAAACATTTGACTATTTACAAAACGTTGCCTGAAAAGTAATTATACTTGTTCTATACACGTTTTTGTCCTGCTTCCAGGCATCGAACTCAGCTGCATTCTCGTACACGCAATTTGAAAATTAACAACAAAAAGAGATGAATTTCTGTTACTTTTAGCCAATACATCAGCCAAATAAACTTAATTAAAATAGGGCTATATACTTTTCCAGTACAATGTCAAAATTCCCCTGTATTTCCATTCATTTTCTGTATACGTCTTTACCAAACTGAAATAGAAAAGTCGGTTTTATTAAGAATTAAAAGTATCAGGAAAAGGATAAATAAGAATAAAAAATGATAAACAACCTCGATCTTATCATCTGGTGTTTGTCTCTCCATAAATACTCCACCGGCTGTCATCCGCTGGCTTCAAATGCCCTCACAATTGCCTCGGTATTTTTATCACCAGGACTGAATTCGACCATTTCCTTTGTCGGGTGCGCATTTGGTGTCATTGTCGGGAAAGTGTGACACCTGTATAAAGGAAAAGGTACCTCCTGGTTTATGGTGACTAACAGTAGACAGCCAGTCAGGAAACTATAGGTACTGGTCACGTGGAAGGGCACAAACTAAAACAACTACAGAACTATAGACCCCTTAACTCAATGAGCACATTTTAAATATTTGTATTAGTACGTCTCTTTAATTTTTCAATATGGACTCAGCCGGTTTTCCCCAGTGTGTTTCGGCGTGTACAAATGCCATTGTCGTAACTATTCATTCTTGAAGCACTTGAATTAATAAGTTCATTAACATCAAGTGGAATAATGATTTATTCAATAACATATAACTAAAACCAATAAATAGGGTAACTTATTCACTTTGATCAATAAAACAGTGATGTTTACTTATTCGTAACATAATATTGTGCTTCTTTCTTTCTTTGAAAAAACTTAAACTTGTTTTAATTATCATTTTATTCGCCAAATCAATAAGGCATTTGGTCTAACACTTTTTGTTCAATCATGATAAACATAAAACTCGAGGAGTAACACACTATCTGAACATTATAGGCAAAGTGATTCCATGTATGAGCAAATAATGCAATAAAATCTCAAAATCTGTTTCTGGGATAGTAATAGCGTTTCTGTGTCACCGCAGTGGGCATATTAACTGTCTAGTAAAAAGTTTATGGGGGTTCCATACTTTATGAAGGTCTACACCTGGTAAAATAGCTTTTTTCCTGGGAGTTGATAGCTGCCTCTGTTTCATCATCAGTTTGGATAAGGAAATTCACCCTGATGTACCTGTATCTTTGAAATGTATTATCTCACGACGTGACTGTGCTTACTTCCACTATATCTAAGCTAATAAGGAAATAAATCACTGAGTATCCAGCCCCGTTAAGTTCGAACAGAATTGCAGTTCGCTGCCCCTTAATGCTGTCTTCTGTAGCATACCACAATGCTAAAGTATATACTTTTACCAATGTTCTGACACTATACTGGATGCGCCATCACCAGCGCCTCTTCACGCACCTTTGAAAAGAAAATATTAGATTCATATCTAACGCTAGCCATTTCTTTCATTATTAAAGGCTTATTACGCTTTCAATGATTCTCCAGCAATACAAGACGAATAACAACCTAACACGTAACATTACGTCTGATTGCAGCAATGCTGCGTTGTCTGGCTTGCCAATGGTTTCCTTTGCTGTCTAAATATGTACAGGTAAAATGCGTATAGTGCACCTGCGTCCGATCATTCCGTAAATGTTGAATCGCAGTAGATTTAAGTCGGGGTAGAAACAGTTGGCATACAAGGACAAAATGCCTGATTACGACAACAATGGAATAAGGTGTCGGCCACCGGTATCGCTCTAAACGACGATGAGGTCGACAGAGACGCATTCCAGTCCCGAATTATTCCACTTCGCCTGGTCGTTGCACATGATGGTGGCCTGATGCTCGCCGTTAGAGAAAAGAAAGCCGGTGTCACAGGTGTAGGTGATGGTGTCGTTTGTCATATACGCTACCTGGTTCCCCACGTCATACGTGACTGCGTTCTTGATGTTGTAGGGCTCCGGCTTGATACAGTGATTCTCTAGAAATAGACGGTTTTATTTAGGATAGCAGATTATTTTATGTGTGTGTGTGTGTGAGAGAGATAGAGAGAGAGAGAGAGAGAGAGAGAGAGAGAGGAGGGCTCGAATGTATCTGATACTAAGCAAATATTGTTATGGGTATACGTCTCAGTGCCATTTTAAAATGAAAATCTAAATATTTTCTTTATCTGTCACAAAGCTATAGAACTGAAATAAAAAGTAAATATATTCATTTAATAAAATATGCAGAAAAAGTTTCAAAGCAGTATATCTGCATAGAAAACCACTCAATGGATCACCTGGGATGCAGATCAGCTTCATGAAAGGATCGTCCATCCAGTTTCTGGTGGTAACAGGGTCCGGGTCGTAGAACTTCCACTGTCCTGTCAGCTCGTGAATACCTTGGTCGAGAAAGGCAAACTGAAATACCACCCCTACGTTACTGTGGTAGATGTGGGTAAACAGCCAAATAGAGCCCGTGTGATGGAGGTACACTGGCTCGTACTCTTCGGACTGGTTCGATATTTTCGTATATTCGTAGTGCTGGTATATGGACTGGCCGGTCAACAGGTAGTACTGGCCGACTACAAAAGGGAAACGGGATTGGGGTCTCTCGCTGCCGCGCAAATACCAGAGATTCCATTCTGTAAAATATAATATTTTTATTTTCTGGAGTAAATGACAGACTGTTAAAACGTGACAAGTGTTGTACAGGGAAAAAATCTTTGATATCCACCGGTGAGCATGTGCTGACAGGTGTAAGTTATCTTAAGTGCCAGTTTCAGTTTGTCTCTTGCACCTCACCTTAACCTGCCGAAAAACTGCCGAGAAAAAACATGGATTTCGCTTCCGGTTAAGACAAGTTTTGAAACTATTAGCTCCATGTATAGGTACATTATCACCTGTTTTGCACGATTCTAAATGTGCAAATTGTGTCAATTTGCACATTACCAAAATGGCTTCCCTCTGCGTCATGCGCGCTCGACAAATATCAAAGTACCCTTGTTCAGGAAAAATAAAGTGAGAGAACCATTTGCAATGGCCAAGAAAGTGAAAAATTCTAAATATGAATTTAAAAATTATCATGACCTCAAAGGCATCGCATTGTGACGTGCCATAACTATGGAACACCATCCCCAGAAATTCACTGCATGACGTCACGCCTAGCCCACTGCGCATGCGTGCATTTTTAATGAGTTGCTAGATTGCCATAGGAAAATGAATGGGTTTGCGATTCGTGGGTAATTCGTGAGAATTAACAAACTAACGGCCTGATGCCGATAGACAGCAACGCTGTGCTATGCTTCAAGCAACTCCTGACCAAATATCGCTAGGGTTTTTTAAAAAAATTCTGTTGTACACACGTACTAAGAAGTTTGCCGTATATTGCTTAGACTACCCTCAGCAAAACGCAAATATTTTCAGCTATAGTGATTTTAGACGGTAGATTCACTCAGAAACAAAGGGAAATTAATTCGTTGCCGATAGCACCAGCTGATAGCAGTAACATACATGTACAGAGTCTGATTAAAAAATTTCATGGCAATTGAAGATTTTTTACCACTGTACAATGGAGTCCAAAAAGAGCACTTGGCACAAATGTAAAACTGCCCAGTGCAAGGCCAAGAATTCAATCAGTATTTTCAATCATATTATCAGATTCTACATAAATTGACTGACCATATCACTACTCAGTATTTAACTAATCTCTTAATCCAAAATTCCTATCATCATTTAATAATTATGCAAAATTCTTCTTT